GTCATCCACCCATTCACACACTGGTGATGGCAAGCTACATTGTAGCCACAGCTGTCCTGGGGCGCACTGACAGAGGCGAGGCTGCCAGACACTGGCGCCAACGGGCCCTCTGACCACCACCAGTAGGCAACGGGTGAAGTGTCTTGCCCAAGGACACAACGACCGAGACTGTCGGAGCCGGGGCTCAAACCGGCAACCTTCCGATTACAAGACGAACTCTTGAGCCACGATCACCTGTTGTTCCACAAGTCTTGTGCTTTAGCAGCAATAATTTGAATTAAGAGTTCTGCATGACTTTTATCAGCCTCTTTCACCATTGCAGAGGAATTCTAGCTCACTCTTCTTTACTGTGTTCTTCAGACCATTGAAGTGTGTGGTTAAGCATTTCAGTCACCTTGAGGACTTTGATTGGAGCATAGCAGCACCTTGCAACTGTGCTTTGGGTCATTGTCCTGTTGTATGACCCAGTTTTGGACAGACTGTACCTGCCGCACAGAAGACTCTGGAGTACTTTGGTAATCAGACAAATTCATGGTCGACTCAAAGCCTGTGGAGGTAAAACAAGCGCAAATCATGACCCCTCCACCACCGTGCTTCACAGTTGGTACGAGGTCTTTGTGCTGATATGCTATACCTTGTTTTCACCAAACATAGCCCTGTGCATTAGGGTTAATGTGGTCTCATCTGTCTAAAGGACATTGTTCCACAAGTCTTGAGCTTTGTTGAGATGCAACTTTGCAAAGCTAAGCCATGCTGCCATGCTCTCTTCAGAGAGAAGAGGCTTTCACCTGGCAGCATCTCCAAACAAAGGATACTTATTATCACTACTTTTTAAAAACTACTCTAGTGTAGTTTAAAAATATATACAAATGGAGCTGGAAATGAGCATATTAGGTCAGCCTGCAGAACCAAAGATGACAAAAAAGGACCGTAATTGTCTTCACTGTGTCTGTCAGACTTTCTTTCTCTGCTCCAGTACAGTGGAGGTGAATGGAAGCACTGATACATTGTAGATCCTCCAAAGCAGCAGTGAGTCTGAGTTTCTCCAGAATATATTAAATCCCACTGACCTCTGTGGTATCCGGCAGAAATCTGAGCGACAGATTAAACCTGGCCCTTAAACCCTTAAATCACATCAGAAACGCACACACAGACACATACATCGTCATGACAGTGAGGATGACCGCTCTGTCCACTCTACTGTTTGCTGAGACACCCGTCTTGTGGACAACGCTCTCTCTCTTTTAATCAAAGATCCCCAAAGCAGTTGTGTATACCGAGTGCCTCTGGAGTGAAGCTTGATGAGAGCAGAGTGATTGCTTTGTCAGAGCCTTGTTGATGAGACTCAGAGAGGGCAGCTGTAGAGTGACCGCCATCTGGAGGAATGAATGACCAGCAGAAGCAAAGTCAAGCATAACCAACTATAGAGGGAAATGTGGAGATTTTAATACCGAGCGTTGCAGCTTTCCAAAGTGTGGCTTTTGTATCATTTTTCAATCAAGCCAGTTGGGCGTTTGACGGTTGTTTGGACAAAACAAGCAATTTGACGCCATCATCTTGGACTTCTGATGGATATTCCTGTTATTTTCTATTTTTTTTAATGCTTAAAATAAGTCAGGATGAAAGAAATGATAAAAAAAAGAGCAGGGAAAGCGTCGGGGACATTTGGCTGCTTTTCTGTGTTCAACTGACTGCCCATTCGTTACCCAAAAGGACAAGGGAGAGGGGAGAAAGGGAAGCTAGAAAGGAAAATAAAGCAAGTTGACAGGACATATGTGAAAGGAAAGATAGATTGGTCGGTGCTATTGAAATGAGCAGATTGGAAAATTGTAGGGAGGGACACACACAAGCACACACGGAGCGAGAACGCGGGCGAGTGAAGGATCTAGTCTTTGTCCCTTTGCACGTGGGAGCGCAGACACACATACATCAGGCTGCCATAACTCATCATCATCCCACAAAAAAATAAATAAAAAGAAAGAAAGAGAGAGAGAGGAGGAGGGGGAGAGGAAGGCATCTCACTGTTATCAGCACAAAAACAAACAACAACACAGTTTAGTCTGTCAGGTCGAGCGAGATGCAGATTTGGATTGGACTTCTGCGTCGTCCCGAGCACACGACAGGCCAAAATCCACAAATTCAGCTGTTTTCCCTCTGCTGTGACCCCCTCATCCCCCCCCAATTCTTGTCACTGTAAACTATTACACGTTTATTGTTGTCAAACGTATCGCTGATGGAATGAGATGAGCGCTCCTTTGATGCAGCAACTGCCATTTATTTAATTTGCATACGATTACAGCCGTTCGGTTTTTCGAGCTGACATTTTGCTGGGTTAGCTGTGGGCAGATACATGTACGGTCACGGCCCGAAGCCTTACTAAAGATAGATGAGAGATAGATACGTCAGACGAAATTTGTGGGCTCCTCTACTCGTGCTGCATATGACACAGTTAGCAGCTGAAGGGCTGTTTACCCACCATGTGTGCGCGCGTGCCCGCATGTGCGCGCGTGCCCGCATATGCGCGCGTGTTCGAGCCGGCTACTCGGTCACACAGGGCCTCTCTGTTGGGCATATTCTGTTTTTAACTATCCGTCCACACCCTTCAGATAAAGAGAGGGAGAAAGAGGCTGGGCCTGTCCAAATGAATTACAGTAACCATTTGGTAGAGAGTGAAAAAGAGGGGAGAGGAGGAAAGAAAGTGGGACACAAAAACAAGCCGTTGGGCACTCGCTCTGTGACACTGACTGTCCAATATGATCACTGCCTGTGTAATTCTGGATAATCCCACATTCTTCAAGAGTGTGAACACTGCTGGCTCTTCTAGCTAATCATGTTTTTATAGGTGTAAAAACAAAAGAAAGGTGAGGTACACATTTGAGAGTTACATACACATTGACACACTGGCTGAATTTGAGCTGACAGGTGAAACTATCAGTCCCAGTGAGATTTATACCACAGCTGCCTGAAATTAACAGTATTGGAAATAACTGAAATCTTCTTTTCTTTCTGTAATGATTAATCCAGCATTATGCACAAGCTCTGTAAATTAAATGATGTCTTTAATGCTAAAGAACAATTCTTCTTATCAATTTAAAATCTGCTTTACAAAGAAGCAGAAAAAATAGTCAAACACGTTATTACTTTTTGATCAAGGTGTCAAAACACAGCTATTTACTCGTGTTCTTGAACAGGAAAATTGGTTTCTGTGGTTGAATGTTGTGCTTGATTAATTTCTGACTTCTCAGAGACGTCGAATGTGCCGGCTCAAATTTGAGCGTAAGAACATGAATGCGGTTTATTTGCTGAGTAAACAGCAACACGTTTGGTTTTTTTCTTAGTTTATGAGAGATTATGACAGTTGGTCTAATAAATTTGTTAAGCCCTGCATATGCGTGTTGCATAGACTGTATATAAAAGATGGACATAAGATCATGACATCATCCATTCATCCATTGGTTGGAGGGAATCTGGCTGATTTTAAGGATACGAGGAACCCGTGTACGTTAGCTGCTTGTTGTTGACTAGGTGACCACGCCCCCGAGAAAACTCTTACTGTTTCCTCTAAATGTGAACATAGCATGAACATCATGTTTGAGTAAAGACTTCAAACTCTGAAGGAAAATGTTTACTCAGCTCAGACATCAAGTGAAAACTCTTTTTTGTCAGACTTATATTGACTGACTTGTTTGTGTAAGTCAGGGGTGTCAAACTCAAATACACAGTGGGCCAAAATTCAAAACTGGAACAAAGTCGCGGGCTAACATTAATATTTATTGAAAAAAAAAATCTTCCTCTAGATATAAGAATGAATCTTTTCTTATGGACTCAAACAAGTTTTGCTGAAAAACAGAATATGGAACAAGCAAAGCTTAATACTAAACACTATATATATTAGCTGTATAATACCAGTAGGCCAGCTCTGATAGTAATTTGGTATGGCTGCCCGCGGGCCAGAGTTTGACACCTATGGTGTAAGCAGAGCAGTCGCCCCCTGCTGGCCGTAGGAAAAAGCGGCAGTTTTGCAGAGCATTCTCATTCCCGACGCGTAACATGCCGACAATTTGTCACGTCCCGAGGCGTCCCACGGGAAGGCGAAAGGTAACCACGTCTCTGTGATACGCGCCCGATTGTGGATGGAATCCAATAGAATGACGCTCCCGGCGGTAACAGACGTTCCAGCTGTGTATTCCAGCCCTAACCCTAACCATGACCTGAATGGTGTTAGGTAGTGTTTTCCAAAGCAATTAAAGTAAAATACATGTACACGTGCAGATTGAGTCCAAACGGTTCTCATGTTTCCTCCTTTTTTCCAATGTTTGAGTGGCTGAAAGCGTAACATCCCGAAAATATGTCACATAGCGTAATATGTTACGTGTCGCGTTTAAGGATCTTAAATGGATTAGCTTCAATTTTCAGACTCAGATGCTAAATTGCTAAAGTGACACCTAATATATAGATTTTTTAGAGTACTTTGCAAGCTGCTGAAACCTTACGTCTGTGAAAGGATTTTGTCAGCTGTGTAAAGGACAGTCGCAAAACTTGTGACCTTGGTGACCCTTGGTTGGCATCAAAACAGAAGCAGATAACATGTGATTGCAAAATTGTTCCTTGTTAGGGATTCTGAACTCCTGGATGAATAAAAGAGGGAATTTAAAAACATACATGACCCTCAGCTCGCAGGACGACTTGTTGAATAAGAAAAGTAACAGCCAGATTCAATTAACGTTAAATACGTATCCCTGTTCTAAACTGTGGCAGCGTGGAGGCAGATTTGCAGAAATATGAATTGTTATTAAGCAGATTATAGTAATTATTAATGGCTAATTTTTTTGTATGCATTTGAGAAATAAGTGATGGTTTTCTGGAAAAATCCCCAACAATAAATTATTATTTTCACTTTTCTTTTTGCAGTCAGAAGCGCAGGCGTGGAGCTCATTAGATTGCGTGAAAAACGGTTTAATGTGCACCTCTTAATATTTTATCCATTTTTTTATTTTTAGACACAGAGGCGGAGAGGAACGCGCTGAAGGAGCATGTCTATCCCAAACTACGAGACTTCTGCAGGGAGAATTATGGAATTGAATTCCAGGTAAATGGCTGCTTTCTCCTTTCTCTTTCTTTCTAACGTTGATTTATTCTTTTTACGTTTCACCTTCTAACAGCTGCAGATTCTTGTGACTTCCAGAGCATTAGTGCTTTCATATTTACATCATAGCTTACACAGCTTTAAGGTGCCTGGAGGGAACCCCGGAGCTGCTAGCAGAGGCGCCCGTCCCTTTAAGCGGACAGAAGGCCAGCAGAGATAAGGTTTCCATCGGTGAAGGCTGGCACAAATCTAGCTATGGATAAGGCAGCATGATGCAAGGGCTTTCCCTTTGTTGTTGTCAGAGGACGGCTGCATTCTCCCTGCGGTGTCCACTGATCGAGATCATTTGCATTGCAAATTAGCATCAGTGTTCACAGAAAGATTCCTATCAGAGTTTTGTTTGCTTAACAAATCCAGGTGGGCTGCCTCAGATTGTTCCTGGAAGGATTTGTGGAGATTTGTTTCCGGTGAGGGGGCTTATGACCCATGAATTGTTTTAGAGAACGGTAATCAGCGGAGTTTCGGTAGCTAATTCTCATTTCACGCCAGGAATGTTTGGATCAAAACAGCTCCAAGCACATACCATCTGAAAGACTTGGTACATATGTGTTTAGGTTATCTCCCCCTGTATGCATAAGAGTTGTTCAGACACTTGGGTATCGTGATTGTGGTACTTCCAGATCCTCTTTTAATGTTCTCATTGTCAGTGGGGTTATGGAAGCAAACTACTATGTGGCGCCATAATGAATTATCATTTGTTTTAAATTTTATCATTTCTAATCATAAAACTTAAAATGACCACCCCAGAGAAATGGATATTAAATGTGGCCTACGATTAAAAACCCATAGTACATTAAGAATTCAGTGGCTCCATGGTGTAATGGTTAAAACATTCGCCTTGCAAGGGAAAGAGAAGGCACAATCCCAGCCTCAGGGGTTTGCAAGCTGGTGTACTCCTGGTGCCGGTCCCGAGCCTGGATAAATGGGATGGATGCGTCAGGGAGGGCATCTGGTGTGAAATCTGTGCCAAATCAAATATGTGGATCCATCCACTGTGGCGAACCCTTGGGAAATAAGGGAGCAGCAGAATGGACCACAGTACATAAAGAATTCAGGGTCCCTGAACAAGTTTGCACATGAATTTTAACTAAAAGAAAGTAATATGAAGTAGAGAGGAACGCATACATGATTGAAGTAGCAGCAAGCTTAAAGCGGGATTAATGTTCAAAATTGTTAGCTAGTAGCATGTAAGCTGTTGATAAGGTTTGTTTGTATTTTTGTCTTACAGTCAGTGTTGGGAAGGTTACTTTTAAAATGTATTCCATTACAGATTACAGAATACATGCCCCAAAATGTATTCTGTAACGTATTTCGTTACGTTACTCAATGAGAGTAACGTATTCTGAATACTTTGGATTACTTAATATATTATCATGCTGTTTACAACTACATGAATGT